ATGCCCCCCGGCAAGCCGCCTCACCCGCCCGCTGCAGCGCAGAGGCTTTGGAGATGGGTGTGACCTGCAAGGCAGCACACAGCCCACGCATGCCTGGTGGTTCAGACTCCAGGTACCAAAAATGACTAGTAATAATAAGTATCAAGTGATATGTTTGTGCTGCCAGCTTGCTGGAAGCATGCGGATAGAATCCAGCACGGGGCCTTGCCCGCCCAGAGAAGAACCCAGCCCCTTGCTCGTCTGCAGCCTGCCAGGCGTGCACCGTCCCGCCCGCCTGCCCTCCCCGCCCCGCCCGCCCAGCCAGCAGCGAGCCTGGCTGCCCTCGCATACAGCTTCCAGCCAGCTTCCACCCACCTGCAGCGACTCCATGCCTGAGCGCGGGTTGTAGCTGTTCTGCTTGCAGAAGCCGGGGTCGATGACGTACTGCAGGGGGTACCGGATGGATGTGCGGTACATGTGCGGTACATAGTGAGCGGTACATGTGGCGGCGGCGGCGCGAGGAGCAGCAGGGGGAGGCAGGCGGGCCGAGGCAGGAGCCGGGACCGGCAAGTGGGCTGCAGATGCACGGGCGTTGTGAAGGCATGCGCCAATTCAGACAAACAAAGGAACACAAAAAAATAAAACCAGCAAGCCCCCACCTTGATTCCGTCGATGGTGAGCGAGGTCTCGGCGATGTTGGTGGCGATGACCACCTGCAGCACAGCATGACCACAGCGCGACCACAGCATGACACAGCGCAGCATGACAACGGCGCAGCATCGCAGCAACAGAACAGCGCGGTGCAGCAGGTGGCGCAGCACGTGGCGCAGCATGTCCACAGCGCAGCATGCGCAGGCCATCGCAGAGGCGTGACGCAGCCGGGCGCGGCGCGCAGCGGCGGCAGCGCACCTTGCGCGCCCCCGGCGGCGTGGGCTCGAAAATCTTGGCCTGCGAGCGGGGTCAGGGCGGCCAGGGGAGGCGTGGGTGGGAGGGTGAGGCAGCAGCCAGCGGCGGTCCACCGGCCATTGGGCAGAGGCGGCGGCGGCGGCAGCAGGGGCCCTGTGCCAGCCTGGGGAGGCCCCGCAGCGGCAGCAGGGGTGCCCCGGCGCATGGCGAGGCAGGCGTCATGCCTGCGCCGCACCTGCATGTCTGAGGGCAGGTTGGCGTAGATGGGTGCCAGGATGAGCTCGCCTATCTTGGATCCCATGCCCCGGGTGCGCTGTA